CATGAGATCGAGAATACCAGTAGATGTTTGTATGAGAAAGTGACATTATCCTTTGAGACCACCTCAAACCTTGTTCATTCTTCATTATTGATCAGGGAAGGTGCGAAATAAACCACCTGGATAGAAAAGGTATGCAACACATATGGGTTCCTCGCCTCTTTATGGTACGAGTGTGAAGAGAATGCAGAATGTCTCCGAGCAAGGTAGGCACAGAATTACGAGTGAGGAAAATTTTGACAACATTCATATCTATGAGTTGGTCTGGATTAGGGAATAGTACCAATCCATAGATTAACAAAGCCAAGATCTCCTTGAAAGCCTGAAAACTCATAGCATCCAAAAATGGTTGAGCCTTCTCTATCAGAAATTTAGCCAAAAAACCTTTGACTCCACTTCTCGTTTCCCAGTTAGACACAATGTCGGACCGCTTCAGATGTAAGGCTGTCGCAATATCTTCTGGTTTTGGAGCTTCCTCTAAACCAGTGAAGGGTGTCTGATCAAGAACAGGTATTCCCAATAGTTGAGAGAACTCATCCATTGTGGGTACTAGCTGATAATCTGGAAAGGTGAAGCAGTGATATGCAAGGTCAAAGAACTAGAATAGAACACTCATCATGTCTTCGTCAAAACCTGGGGTAACCAGACTGAGTAGTCGACCATGCCTTTTAATGAATGGAGAACTTTCGGGAACCCTTGAGACTAACTCCTTAAGCTGAGGAGGTACCCTTGCAAAGTTGATCCGAATGGTGTTTCTGCGAGCGGAGGCCATAACCTACAACAAAGAACAAAGATAAATCCCTTGGTCCTTGAAATGGTTAGTGAAAATGATATGGTATGATGTCATGATGTTATGATTTCATGTTCAAACAATTAATCATACACAAACAAAACACACAAGGCCTTAAGTTTAAGATTGCATGGAGTTTGTAGGTAAGTACCCTCTTGAAGTTTTAGTTGGCTCAACCTGTCCTAAAAGAAGTAACCGGGTTCTAGGAGCCTCAATATCACTAATCTTTCTCCCAGGCATTGTTTCAGCACAAGCACCTGATTTGCGACCAAAATATCCCGAGTCCGATATCAATGAGTGTAGCATAGAGTATAAACCAACTTCATTCTGCACCAAAGCCTTCTATCTCACTACCTTCTAATAGCTAAGTTGTGTCAACTAAGGTTCTACAGTCAGTTAGTGCTTTATGACACCACGCGGCAGCCCAACGTTCTCCTTGACTTAGCTCAAGGGACACTGGCACCAACCAATGTGTCACACTATTTTACCCCAAAATTTTCCCTCCCATTTTTACTCAAAACATGCTCCTAGAGATCCTTAATTGCTCAAGGTTGACCAAGAGTTGACCAGACAAATTCTCCTCCTAAGCAATGAACCTCTAGCTAGGGTTTCACTTTTCATAAAGATATGTGAGCTCCAAAGGCCCCAAATGTTTTCCATGGTCCTATTATGCCTTCAAGATTGTCCATGACAAATTTCATGCCTTTCACAACAAGTTTGCTCAGTCAATTGCTCAAATGCTTGAAAATCAATTGTGTTAGGTCAAAAGTCAATTGTGGCCCATGTACAGTAAAACTTCAAGATTTTTGGTCAATATCAACATTTTGAAGTGATATCCATAATTTGATCAAGTGTTGATCATGATTCCTCATGAAATGCTCTCAATTTATCAAAAGTCAAGAATTGCTAAATTAGGGTTTCTATAGGAAAAGTCAACCAAACTTTGACCAGGCATAACTTTCACACACTTCATCCATTTTCCCCCAAACAAAGCTTATATTGAAGATAATATCATCCCCTACAACTTATCTTCAGCCCTCAAGTCCAATAAATGCACAGTTTGAAAGATACAAGCTCATACATTACAGGTCATTTTCATAAAGTTAACAAAAGTCACTTTTTTTCAAGACCTTTTACATTAAGATAAATTCTTCAAATGGAAAATTTATCAAAAGAGGTATTGAAGTAGACATCTTTTGCTTTCCAAAAAGTCCAAGATCATCATCATGAGATACAAATTGAGCAAGTTATGGCTTTCCCAAGTTGGGAAAATTTGGAAAATTTCAAGAATTATGCATTGAGCAAACTTGAAGTTTTAAGTCAAGGGCTTAATTTCTTGGATTTCAAGCATCTTCTTAAGCTCATAGAGGACCTATAAAATAATTCTTACCATGCCTTGCATTTTCTATCTATTTTATTCATATTTATTTTATTTTATTCAAATAAATATAAAATAAAAATGTATAAAATAAGGGGAAATAGGCTTTGGCATTTGGGCTGATGTTTTGGACAGCCTAGGCCCATAAATTTCGTGCAAGCAATGTCTAGATGCATCCAAGTTTGAAAAAGGACAAGATTCCATGTCTTTGGCAAAGTTACAAAACATCATTCATGGCTTTAAAAACACATGTTTATGGCTGTTATTACCTTTGTTCTCTTGTCTCCTCCCTCCTCTCTATATAAAGGACACATTAGCAAGCTTCAAGACACGGATATACAGCCTGAAGAGAGCATGCCAAATTGCAAAATTTGTCAAAATTATGAAATTCAAAAACACAGTTCCAGCCTTCCTCAATCCAAACAAAAGATCCAAATACATTTCCGGAGGTCCCCTGAAGCGTTTATAATCATTACCAAGCCCTGAAGCATCACCAAACGCCTCAGCAAGATCGCACAGTTTACACTTTTTTTCAATTTTGCTTTGCTTGATTCATGTAATTTAAGTTCGTTTTGACCATGCATTGTTGATTATATGAGTGTTTGCAAGCTTCATATATATTTGGATTGAAGTTCTGATGCAGGAATCACATTTTGCCATGGTTAGGGTTTGAACCTTCAAATTAGGGTTTTTCAAATCAGTCAAAATTAGACCCAACCAGTGGTATCATTGTGCTCAGGAGGTTGAGGCCAATCGACCCCTGGCCTCACATATAATTTATGTTGCATGTTGTGAATTTTGTAAGATGCAGGTGCTATAGTGACAAATGAAAATTGTCACTATAGACTGCAATACGTAAGACAACGGAGGGAGGAAGAGGATGAAGTGTGGCATCATCCCATTGGCCAATTCAAATAAGCGCGTGTTTTTTTAAATAAAAAAAATTCTCCGGATGGCACGTTGTTTTACATATAATATATTGATGTCGTTTTATATAATGAATGAATGGTAGCTCAGCTGGCAATGAAACGTGCTTGTTAAGGAGAGGACTTGGGTTCGAGTCTCAGGTTCTGCTTGTTAAGGAGAGGACTTGGGTTCGAGTCTCAGGTTCAGCAGTTTTACTTTTCTAATTTGTTTTCTACAGATCACATGCATTGTTTGGCCAGAGGCGTACCAAACACCATCAGATCATCATTGAGCTGGATCCAAGGGCTTCAAATGGGAATTTCATCACGCACCCTCAAGACCACTCCACACCTGATACAACATTTGCCTGAGCTTAACATTCAATTGGAAGCGTTGGAAAGCTTATTCAATGCTCTATCTAACAATACCTAAATAAAAATGCTTGAATACCTATAAAAATGAGATAAAATCAATTAAACTCAATGATATTTACACAATAACGCAATAAATACACTATAACATAAACTATACTGATCATATACACTAAGGTTGAGATTTATTGACAAAAAGAAAACGAATTAAGTCGGTGAGTGCTAATTATTCACACTCAAATTCATAACAATTTAGCACTCATCACTAATATCTACCTGCATTTAAGAACCAAAGTAAACATGAATTTAGGGAAGAACGAACAATAAGAAATATTGTAACACGATTTTCGTACTTTTTGCCAATTTCTGCATCTCCAAAATTTCCTCTTAAGATTTTCTGGCGTATTTGCGACCTAAATCTTCATGACCTGATTGCAACCACATATAGGCATTTGTCTTCCATTCAAAGTACCGATTGAGGACGGTTTGGTGTATGCCATTTGCAACCCCTAATATGCATGAACGAATGTGGTAGAAGATGAATTAGTTTACGAGCTTTAGATAAGATAAATAGGGTTGCGAAGAAGATTAGTAGGTTCTGTTGAATTTGTATGTGAATGGTCACGTGATGTTTTGAGCATTTAGTACACGTGGTAATGAAGATTAAAATTCAATTAACACCCATTTTCCACATCAACTTCTAAAGTGAATATGGTCACTAAAAGGTTTAAGTCAAAGAAATCTTCAAGTGACAAGATTGTTTTTAAAAAATATATATTTTTTACAGAAGAAAACCATAAGATCCCAAAATGGCAAGGGATAAATACCTATTACCCTTATTGTCCAATTTTTTACTGAAAAACCTACATGAAAAAAAAAAAACTTCCTTTTAAAATGAAGATAATAGTAAACTAAGATAATACTTAAATTATGAATAGTAATAATCAAATTATAAGCGAATCATATACAGTTTCTGGTTTAAGTATTTATATCTCCAATAAAATTCTAATCAATTTAAATAGTTTATACAATTTTTTTAGGAAACAATAATATTTCCACAGTTACTATACTTTTTTTTACATTCAATCAACATAAATTTGAACACTTAAATATTTAAAAACTTAAAAAAAATTAAAATAGAACACAATTAATATTCATTCCAAGTAACTAACACTTACATTACATTAAGAAAATAGCCTTGTGTAAGAATTCGTTTCCAAAAATAGTAAACTATAAATAAAATATTATGACCTTAGAATATCGTCTTTTTCATTTCGAGTTTCTGGGCAGGAAAGCATCATCACTATCCTGCCATTATCCATTTGATTTTGTTTATTTATTTATTTTTCAAAATTAAGAACACAAAACACTTTTCTTTCACCAAAATTTTCATGAAATAAAACATTATAGAGAGAAATGTAAGGAAAGAAATGAATCAATTAATAGCCCTTGTGATTATGTGATCATCGTAACAAAAGGTTAAAAGCTAGCACATTAATGCTTGTGTTCTTAATTTGACATTATTATTGTTGTTGTTTCTTTATTAATTTTGTGCAAAATGGAGAACACGACAATGATAGCACCGTCAAATGTTTCGGATAGTAAAATGATTTGTTATACTCCATTCATGACAACAACAAATGGTGTATGGCAAGGAGATAACCCTTTAGATTTTTCTATCCCTGTCTTCATTTTGCAAATAACCTTAATTGTTCTTGCCACACGTTTATTTGTTTGCATCCTCAGACCCTTTCATCAACCTCGTGTCATTGCTGAAATATTGGTAACTTCTTCTCTCTCTCTCTCTCTCTCACACTTTTTTTTCTTAATTATTGTGTGCATGTGTATGAGTTATGTGATGGTAATTTGGTGGAATCATTGGATGATATTGACAGGGTGGATTGTTTTTGGGGCCATCAGTTCTTGGAAAACATGAAACTTTTGCGAATATTGTATTTCCTCTAAAAAGTGCACTGGTGTTAGAAACAATGGCAAATATAGGGTTGATATACTTTTTGTTCTTGATTGGATTAGAAATGGACATGTCTATTGTGAAACGCACGGGGAGAAAGGCGATGTGCATTGCGGTTGCTGGTATGATATTGCCGTTTATTGTTGGTATTGGAGTATCCGTTGCTTTGAATGATAGAGACGCAAGTGTTAACGAAGTTAGCTATGTTCTCTATCTCGGTATTGTTCTATCTGTTACTTCGTTTCCTGTTCTCGCTCGAATGCTTGCCGAGCTCAAACTCATCAACACCGAGTTAGGAAAGCTTGCCCTTTCAACTTCCCTCATCAATGATATGTGTGCATGGGTTTTACTAGCTCTGGCTATTGCTTTATCAGAACAGAATTCAACTACTTTGGCTTCGGTTTGGGTTGTATTGTCGAATGTTTTCTTTGTTGGTTTTTGTTTTCTTGTTGTTAGGCCATCAGTGATTTGGCTGATCAAGAAAACCCCCGAAGGTAAACCGTTTAGCGACTTCCAAATATGCGTTGTACTCGTTGGTGTTATGGTCTCGGCTTTCATTACAGATGTTATTGGAATGCATTCGATTTTCGGAGCTTTTGTTTATGGATTAGTGATTCCAAATGGTCCACTTGGAGCTGCTATAATAGAAAAGCTTGAAGACTTTGTTTCCGGGCTTTTAATACCGCTTTTTTATGCTATTAGTGGACTTAAGACTAACATTACCTTAACACATGGAGGTCTTTCATGGGCGTTTATATTCACAGTCGTTCCTCTCGCTTGTTTTGGAAAGATCATCGGGACTCTTATCATTTCAATCCTTTTCGACATACCAACTCGTGATGGCGTTGTTCTTGGTTTACTTATGAACACCAAAGGTCTTATTGAAATGATTGTGCTAAATATTGGAAGGGAACAAAAGGTAAACCAACTCATATTTAGTATTACGATATACGTATATTAAGAATTCAAAAAAAAATATGGATCATACTATTATTATCGATTGACAGTGTAAAATCTTTGTGATATTGTTGCAGGTCTTGGGTGATGAAATATTTTCAGTTATGATTATTGTGACAATTATAATGACAGCAATAATTTCACCTGTTGTGACACTAATTTATAAGCCAAGGAAAAGGTTCATACCTTATAGAAAGAGAACAGTGCAAAGTTCAAGAGTTGATGCAGAGTTAAGGGTGTTGGTGTGCGTTCATGCTCCTAGAAATGTTCCAACAATAATCAATCTTCTAGAAGCAACATACCCAAACAAAAGGTCTCCAATATGGGCTTATGTGCTCCACTTAGTAGAACTCACCCGTCGAGCATCGGCGATGCTTGCTGTCCACGCCACTAGACAATCAGGAGGTCCGGCACTCAACAAAACGCAAGCGCAAACGGAACACATTGTCAGCGCATTTAGAAACTTTGAGGAACATGTTGGTTATGTCTCGGTCCAGCCTATGACGGCGGTTTCTCCTTACCCTACCATGCATGAAGACATATGCAATGCCGCGGAGGAAAAAAGGGTTGCCACCATTATCATTCCTTTCCATAAACAACAAACGGTTGATGGAGACATGTTAGAAACAAATCCAGCATTGAGAATGGTGAACCATAACTTACTACAAACCGCTCCTTGTTCGGTCGGGTTACTTGTCGATAGAGGCATTAACGGATCCAATCGATTAACTTCAAATCAAGCATCTCATCAGGTAGCTGTGTTATTCTTCGGTGGATCGGATGATAGGGAAGCGTTATCCTATGGATGGAGAATGTCAAGGCATCCAAGAGTTAATCTCACTGTAATGCATTTCATTCCAAGAAAAGACGAAACTCAAACTTTAAAGGCAGACGACGATCAACTAGACGATCCAAGGAGTTTAATTTCAAACAAACTAGACGAAGAATGCATAAACGAGATGAAAATGATTGTTGCGAGCAACGATTCAATGAGTTACATAGAAAAAGTTGTTAGCAACGGGGAGGAAACAGTTGCAGCGATAAGAGGAATGAACAATGTCAATGATCTCTTCATAGTAGGCCAAGGTCAGGGAAACTCATCATCAGCATTAATGGAAGGGTTGACGGATTGGAGTGAGTGTCCCGAGTTAGGAGCCATCGGAGATTTGTTAGCTTCTTCCGACTTCGAAACATCAGCGTCCGTTCTTGTTATGCATCAATATGTTGGACAAGGACCAGATGGAGAGGACATTTTTGTAGGTGAAAGACCATGGCAATCAAGTGATGAGTTTAATAACTTGAGACAACAACATAGGGGAAGATATACAACAGTGTCAACAGGGACAAATACTCTAGCACCCCAATTTTTATAAACTAGTGTTTTTTTAATAGTCTTACAAATTCTCTTTTGTAATAACATGAATAGAAAATCTTTTTTTTTTCAATTTTAAAATGTAAATTATGATGATAGTTGGTGTTATTGCATGAGAAATGCTTGACAGAATTGATTCAGCACAATTGAAACTATCCATCAATCACAGAAATCATCTTATATATAACTCTTAAAAAATGATAAAAATAAACATTAATAGTAATCTAACAATTATGATTTTCAATAGCGTAAAAAAACTTTACAGGAAAAGTTCATACTGATTAAATCTAATAAAAAAACACTAATTTGAACTTTTTGTTTAGAATGAATCTTTGCCTATGATCCACAACCAGCCAAGAGTACCACCAGAAAATATGCCACATAAAAGACAAATCACCAGTATATTCCCCAAAGCATTTTGCTCAGGAGCCTGCAATAATATCACATGATAAATAATAATATCGATTCAATCATTGCGCCAACATTTATTTATATTTATAAATTAACAATTTAAAAAAATAAGTAAAAAATTGTTAGTATAAACTTGCCTTGTAACCTCTTGGTGCAAGTGTGAAAACACAAACAGTTAGATAACCATTTGTGAGTCCTAAGAATGAGGTGAGAAATATCATCCATCCTTGATCGCCATATTTTGCGGTGAAATAAAATGCGGGAATCAATAAGAATCGAGAAAGGATTGCTATTAGTAAACCCTTTCTTGATTCCAACTTCAACCATTGCACTAGTGGAATATATCTTGCTATCAAATCCAATACATTATACATAACAATCAGAACAATTGGATACCTACAAGAAAATCATAACAAAATCAATTTCATTTTCATCTAAGGGAAAAAACCAGACTAACATATTAGCAGAAGACTAGGTACATTATGCATACCATGTGCCTAATTGATGTTCTCCTGTATTTTCGTACAAAAATCCAGGGAAGATCGATAGGGTTATGACGTATATAAGAAACAAATCAGCTGCATAGTCAATGTTCGCGTGAAACAGTTGTTTGTTGCTGAGCCGCTCCACTTGTTTGTGGTCGTGTTCGGCCTACAGAAGTTCCAAAACTTATCATGACATTATCGAAAAACTAAGACTAATGTATTATTATTTTGTTATATATGTCTTACTTGATCATTAGTCTTTGTTTGAATGCCTGCAGCAGCTAAGTCGGCTGTAACAGTTTTTGATCCCTCTGAGGCTGCTTTCGCACGATAGTATTTCACTATAGGTAATTTGGTGAAGTAGATTGCGTAGAGAAAAATACAAAGAAACTCGATGAATGTTGAGATCGCAAAGAATAGTACTGCATAGAAAAGAAAACAAGTACTAATAAGAAAACAATGTCGTAACAAAATCAACTAAAAAAAGGCGAAGAGACGAGAAGAATGTACAACGCACTCGCTCCTTTGCGAAGTCCATTGTTAGATTTCTCGAAAGCTAGCTTGGTTAGCACTCTGAGTAATGAAATTAGAGCACCTGATGCTGCCATACCAGCAAGGAAAGACTGCGTAAAGTTAACAATATTACGCATTATGAACAAGTTTAACTAAACAAAATCTATACTATAAATTTAATTCGAACAAGTTATGTGGAAGATGAACCTGCACGAATTCGGGACACATAAAATAGAGATCTCCGACCATACCACCTTCAACAAAAGCATCAGCAACTCCAAAACAAGCGGTTAGAAAACATATAACAAGATAAGGTCCAATTCCTCCTTTGCCTGATGTTGCAAGATCCAACTGTCATAACGTAACCCGATTATGGAAATCGGTCGTATACACGTTAAAAATCAGATACAAGATCAAGAAATTAAAACATGGAATTTGAAAGTGGTTTACTTACAATAAGAATCAAGAAAGTGGCAATAAAGAAGAGTGTGAATCCAACTACATTCCGGAGTCGAGTGTTGATCTTGGACTCATAGTGTGTCATTACTATCAATGTTCCAATTGCAAATGGTTGATAAACCAATGTAAGTACTCTTGAAGGATGATATGTTGGGAACAGTTGGTAATAGTAATCTCCTATGGTTAAGATACTGTTCCATGAAACTAGAGAACCTAGTCCAAGAATGAAACAAACTGCCATTGCTCTGATTTTCCCCTGTTTATATAAATTGAAATTGTAATATTTACATCAAATCACCATACACTATACTATATAGTAATGTCTTTAATAAGACACTAGACACATGTAATCAGTGTCTCGTGTTAAGTCAGTGTGACATTGACATGGACACCAAAAATGTACAATAGTTGACTGTGTTATGTCAGTGTCACACTGATACGGACATAGACACATGTAATCAGTGTCTGTGTCGCTCACACTATCAATGCATATAATCCGTGAATATGTCATACGCATGTAATCAGTGTTTGTATTGTGTCGGTGTCACATTGAGACGGCATTTTGTCTTTGTTCAGAGGTGTTTGTGCCATAAAGTTGAACACTTACCCCAGGTTTTCTTGGTTCTCCGGTGCCATTGCTAGTAATCGTATTGTCCATGACCATTTTACTCTACTTACAAAAGATAAGGTTAATAAGAATTTTAGCAACAAATAGCTCTAAGAGGATTTGAACAAACCCTATTTTGATCAAAAACCACATGGATGACTTATGAATTAATATTAAAAAATACAAATATGAATAAGAATCATGGTATGGTAGTAAGCAAGCATATTAACCTTAAGATGAGAGTGAGAGAGGATGAAGACAAGTTTGGTCTATAGATCCAATCATTTGAGGTTGTTTCATTTGAAAATTATTGATGATGTCTTCATAGCCTAGTAACATGATTAGGAACAGATCTGGTTTCTGAACTAATAATCACAATCAGCATAACCTCGTAACAACGTTGTTATCATCAACGTGACGTAAAGTTCTTTTCATTTTGTTTTATTATTACTGTCTTATATTTAATATTAGTAAAATTATTAAAGTTATTTTTATTAACATAAATAAATATAAAAATAATTTACACAAACTTCATCCAATAATTTTTTTCTCCACATATTGGTGCATGCTATTTATCAAGACAGAAGAATGATGCATCACAGAAATAAACAGAATGTGCAATTAGGTGAATCTGATAAATAAGCTTATAGAGAGAAAAAAAAAAACAGAAAGTGGAGATTTTTCATGGAGTAAACAAAAGAAAAAGAAAAAGAAAATATTTTTTATGTAAAAAGTAACAGTTATATTAAAGTGAAAATATAACATAAGAAAAAGAATACTAACCAATAATTCTTGTGGTTTGTTTGTACACAACTGAGTAGATTTTGGACTCTGGCTGCTAAGTGTTCATGTTTTCTTGGAACTGAACAGATAACGAATAGTATGATGAGTTTAAGACTTTTATAATTCAATTCCAAGATCCCAAGACTTATGTCAATATTAGCTGTCATTCATTTGATTCTCAATAATACTCTTTTTTTAATCAATTTTCTTATTATATATAACAATATTCTATTTCTACTTTTTTAGATATTTTCTTTAAAATGAAAAAAAATGAATTCAAAAAAAGAGTTTTTTGGATATTCTTTTATCATTTTTTTGGATATGATTACTCTTTTTTCCAACTTTGTTTTCTTTTGAGTTCAATTCACTATCAAGTTGGTTGCGTTCATTAAATGCTTTTACACTTTTTTATCTATTTCTGGTACAATGTGAAAGCTTGTAGTACTAGTATAAGTTTCACACGTTTCTTTGTCAAAAAAAAAAAAAAGGTTTCACACGTTTCTATAGTATCTTTGAATTTAATTTGGACAAGATTTTCTCATATTCTGAGTTCATATGGTTTTTTATTAGGGATAGCTAGCAATGACTATCATTGTATTGGAATAAATATCATATTCTTGAGTACCTCATACCGTGCATGTATATATTATTATATTAGTATATGAATATCTATGGATTTTGAGATATATATAAATATGTATGAGTATTAATAAATAGTATTATTTAAATAAATAAATATATTTATTTTTTGAAAAAAATGGTAAAAAAAAGTTCCAATAATAATAATAATAATAATAATATATTAAATTCATTTTATTTCTTCTTTTACCACATAACTAACAAAAATAATAATAATAATAATAATAATAATAATCTTTTCATATAAAAATATAAAATAAATAATAATATGAATAATAGTTTAAATTCAACAAAAATAATATTTAAATTTGATAATAATTACACGTGTTAAGAATAAAAATTATTTACTTTTTATATTCAATCCCTGTAACTACTTTTTAATAAAATAATAAGATTATTATTAATAAAATAATAATTAATATGATATTAACATTTAAAAATGATAAATAATAATAAAAAATGTTGATAAAAAATGATCATCTTATGCAATTTTAATATTCCATCTTATAGCCCAAAGACATGGACGTGGAATGATGTAATATTTAAATGATTTTTAGTTAAGTATTTTAAAGCTCGCAAAAGATTCTAATTATTTATCTTCTTATGTAATATTTTGATATGAATAATATGATAGTCTTTTTTGAAATTATTTCAATTTATATTAATGAAAGTGAGTGTATCAGATGATTATGGCGTATTAAGTTAAAATTGACACATCCCTCTTAGTAGTTAGTCACTCTAAAGCGTAAGTAGTAAATTTTAGAATACATTGATCTCGAATCGGGCTCAAACCTGGGGAACGGTCCTCAGTGATATAAAAGTTTACTCCAAAGTTTACTCCAACTCGCAACTATGGGACAAGTAACAATGAAATGAAGCCATTAAAGGTGAAAATGATGAAACATAGGCAAAAACGTTGAAACAAAATCGTAGGAGAAAATGATGAAACAAAATCGTAGGAGAAAATTATGAAGTAAAATTATAGGCAAAAATGATAAAAACAAAATTGTTGTGAATCGAATGCCTTTAGAAATAAGGTATAAATTGTTTCTTTATGATCAAGAAACACATAAGGGTAGAAAAGATAGAAAAACAAGAAGAACA